CCTTTCCACCCTAGCATTTCCAGTTGACACACATAACAATAAGGGTGTCCAACCATCCCCAAAATTCATTTCAACGTCGAATCCCCTATCGATGTATTCCATGACGAGTTCGTTATTTTTGCTGCAGAGAGCAGAATAAAAAGTGGATTTTTCTTGAGCCAACTTTTCAGCCTCAGTATTGGAGATCATCATCAGCTACCACCTGTTATAAAAAATATGGCATTTCAGAAATACTCCAATATGGAGCAAAGCTTGTTTACACGTTTGGTGAGGTTGGGTGTACCGACAGTTGACCTTGACGGACATAGTAATTGGAAATTTCTTTTACATTTTTTTTTGTTGATTCAATGAACATTCTTTTTTCTTTGATTCAATAAACATTTTTTTTTTACTTTAGGTTGTTCCTGTAGAAACTATTGCTGCTGAATTTCCATTTCATCAGTTTTTCGAAAATGCACCTCAACCTCTTTTCAAAGGCAAATCGTTTGAAGAAGACCTTGAAGTATCTGAAAGTTGCTTTAGATATATAGAACATATCTTTAAAGAATTAGAAGAATTTCGTGCATTCGAACTTCTGAGATCAGGGTTGGACAGATCTAAATACTTGCTTGTAAAAGAAGCAAAGATAATTGCCATGACGTGTACTCATGCTGCCCTGAAGAGAAAGGAATTGGTGGAAATAGGTAATATAAATTAGTGTTCAATGGTATTCTGACCTCAATATCTTAAAAAAAGTGATTATTATTCAACATTTATTGATCCCAAGAAACATACAATGTTTGTAGAGGGACAATAACAAAAATGAGTGAATAGATATACATGAATGCTATCAAAATTATCAACAACCAATGTTATAATTGAATCAGAATTATAAAAAATATGAAAAATAAGTCAGTTGTTCGGTATCTAGCTTTCAGAATATTTTGCAATTTGGTCAAGGAAGTAACTTATTCTATTTTATCAGATAAACTGTAGTGTCCGACCGAAAGTTCGGTTTCGGTCGAGTTTCGGCAAAAAAACGGGTTTCTGTTGAGTTTCGGTTTCGGCCGAAACTGAGACCGTTGCCGAAATTCGTTTTCGGTCTTAAAACCATTTTCGGCCGGACACTAATAATCTGTTGTTATTCCATGAAAATGTAAGGATTTTCTTTCAAATTCAGTTTTGAAATTTGCCGTTTTCAAATTACTAAATTGACTAGCATTATACCTATGAGTATGATAATATACTAAGGAATGTTTCTTCATATGCTTTGTCAGATGGATAAAAAAGCATTTATTCATTTTAAATAATGAGTCAAGTTCTGAGAGATTTCTTGATCTCTATAATTTTGAAGTTGGTTTCGCAAAAGGTAATTTGAAAATACACCTAATTGCCTTATTTTGCAAAGACTTGGTGGGTTTCATAATAGATTTTTGCAGTGTAGGTACCATACTGAAATTAAATATTGAATTTTTGAATAAATAAAAATGAGACCATGAGAGATAATAATCAATATGCCTAGGAATTTCATACATTTTGTAAAATAGATCGTTTCAAAGAGAGAGATGATATAATTTACAAAAATCTGAATTGAGATAAAGCAGCAAAAAATTAGAACAGATTATGAGGTTTATTAGAAAGTCAATAATAAAAAACATCCAAGAGCTATTGAAGTCCTTGAATTTTTTTAATTTTAAATAATCTATATTACAGTGATACTAATAAGTTGGAAAGGAGATATAGTTGGTGGTTAAAATGTATTAAATTTATATTTCAGTAGATAATGACGATATTTTTAAAATGGCGTATTTAAATGATCTGCAAAAAAATTATTGAGTTGCAACCCTGACTCTATATTTAGGTCCAATCGCCATCAAAACCTGATTGTTTCTATAATCAGAGTAAAAAACAATGTATATTTTGATCAATTATACTCTAATTTTTCCAATAATTTTGATAATCCTACTAATACAGTTCACTCTGAGATTTTGGCCATAAAAGTTTTATAAATTCTTGACACGTTTCGCTATACAATAGATTTTAAACTGTAGCAATATTAATCCTACCTATCAGATAGTTGATATGTTAAACTACCTGAAATGTCAGGATTTATACCTTTATAAATAATATTCAGAGAGCAGTTTTACCAATAATAGTAAAAACAGATAATTAGTTACAGGTCAGTCCTGTAGTTGAAAGTTCATTAAAATCTCATTTTAGCAATTTTTCCTTGAGAGTATTTTGTGTCTCAAAAGCATTTATTCAAAAAAGTACTTTGTATATTTCCATTTAGGTTTTAAATACGATAACATCCTTATGGAAGAATCCGCTCAGATATTGGAAATTGAAACATTCATCCCTCTGTTACTTCAGAATCCTCAAGATGGCTTCAATAGACTGAAACGTTGGATCATGATTGGAGATCATCATCAGCTACCACCTGTTATAAAAAATATGGCATTTCAGAAATACTCCAATATGGAGCAAAGCTTGTTTACACGTTTGGTGAGGTTGGGCGTACCGACAGTTGACCTTGACGGACAAGGTAGAGCTAGACCAAGGTTAGTCTTATAGTTTTATAAGAAACTTGAGTTTCAAAATACTCAATTTTTTCTACTTCTATTCTATTTTTACCTGTCCCAGTTTGCAAAATATATTTTAATCTTGAGCATTATACAACTCAATGCTTGGATTCATTCATCTTCCGATTATTTTTAACCCAGAAACACTTGAGGTGTAAGTTTATGAAATTTTGTTTAAAATAGGTTTTTCCATAAACAAGTTGATACTCCATTATGGTTAACAACCCTCAGATGTGGAAACTTATGCAAGTTAAGGATTAACGAGGTCTTACTATGATCGTAATAATGGCAAGTTGCCAGTTTTCATTTGATAACACAGCTCGTTTTTGTTGAGTTTTTTCAACAATAATCATATGACCGAGTGCTTGTTTCTTTAAATTGTCCATTCAGCAAAGAAATATGGAAAAATATGTGGTAAACCATTCTGTAACATTCAATTTTCCTAATCCTCATTTTTTCAGTAGAATATTTGTTTGAAACATTTGTTTAAGCAGCTTGTATCAATTGATGAGATTTAGGCAGGATTCCGAAAATAAATCACAATCCTTTTATTGTGAATTCCAAAATAATGTTCGAGATTTTAGGTATGCGGAAATGAAAATATCAAATCCAGTTGTTAAATTCATTCATTTCATCGGTCAATTTCTGAGTAAATGAATCAACCCTTTTTCAATTGACAGAGCTGACGAAGATGAAGCAATCGATTATTTTCAAGTGGAGTTGGCCATAATGCGGACACTTATAGTTAAAACCCTTCAAAATTACTTTTACGAACTAACGCTACAAATTCAATCATTGTGAAATTCGATGATAATCGAAAAGTTACTATTATGAAACTACTACTACAAAACCTTTTCGATAAATCTCTACTTTATACACACACACCTCTCTTATTTGCTGATACTTCTCAACAAATGACTTCAATGAATCTAATATTTCATATGAATTTGATTTTCAGTATATGCAATCTTTACAAATGGAGATACAAAAACTTAGGAAATTTGAAACATGTAGACAATTGGCCAGAGTACCAGCTGGCAAACCCAGGCTTTGTTTATGACTTTCAATTAGTAGATGTCCAAGACTTCAATGGCATAGGAGAATCGGAACCCAGTCCATATTTTTATCAGGTGAGGACAACAAATTTAACAAAAATTCAGTGTCAGAGATAACTCACACATTATTTTTTTATTCAGAATCTAGCCGAAGCCGAATATTGCGTAGCAGTGTTTATGTTCATGAGATTAATTGGATACCCAGCCAACAAAATAACCATACTCACCACCTACAACGGCCAAAAACATTTAATAAGGGACGTGATTAATACCAGATGTGCCAATAATAGTCTCATTGGAAGACCTCATAAGGTAGTGTAAAACATAACAAATTTGAAGAACAAAGGTTGTAGCTCTTCTCAATCTTACAGGTTACTACAGTGGATAAGTACCAGGGTCAGCAGAACGACTATATTTTGCTTTCATTGGTGCGAACTAGAGCCGTTGGTCACTTGAGAGATGTCAGACGTTTGGTGGTTGCAATGTCTCGTGCAAGATTAGGACTCTATATTTTTGCCAGAGTGTCTCTGTTCAAGAATTGTTTTGAACTCACCCCAGCATTTGAACAGGTAAATATTTGTTTTGTTCAATTTGGGTAATAGATCAATTGAGTTTTTAAATTTCAACATTCAAAATTGTTGTTAAATCTTTGATATTTATTCATTTAATTCATCACAAATACAATATCTACAATTTTTGTCTTTATGGATTATGAATTTGAAGTTGTGAGTAATATATTCCAATTTTTAGACTGCTTAGAAATTATAAAGATAGTATAATGTAGCCATTTTTCTAATCCATATAGTATTGGTCTAATATCAAAAATGATTGAGGCATACACTTTGAAAATAGTTATTGTTATTTTAATCCAGCGACAGTTGCAACATCTACATTCTTTAATGTTTTGTAAAAACAATGTGCTAAAATCTTTTGTCACTAGAGCTGAATTTGTGAAAATTTTTAATAGATATTTCAAAAAGATTTCTGAAAAACAGTCTACTTCATCTCCTGAGATGCCAACTCAGTTGGTGGTTCTTGTTTGAAGATCCTCCAGGTTTTGGGGATAATCTGGACCACTCCTGAGTGAGTGTCTACTTAACAGAACAGGTATGTGGGGGCCTGTGAAGTCATCTGTGATCATGAAAATGCTGGGAAAAGAGCTTTGTCATTCAAGAGAGCTGTCTAAGCTGACGATAACTAATGATGTGACCAGAACTCAGACACCTAGTTGGAACTAGTTCACCAAAAAGCTGACATAAAAGCTGCAGAGATCGATTGACTATTGCGACTGCATGAGCATAGGTCACACAGAGTCTTCTTTTATTAACAATGACAACCTTGGCTTATTCAAGAACCTACATTTGTTGGTGACTTGTTTGAACAAGAAATAACAATCTCACCTACCAAAATACCATTTCAAATCATCCAAAAGAACAATTCGTTCGTATGCCCACTGACTATACGTGAAAAATACCATTTTTTGTAATTCAGTGAAATCATTATTTTATGAAGGCTTTAAAAAATTTAATACAAATATAATTGCACGAGGGATCCAAAAACTGTTAACAAGTTTCATGTAGTTAGATTCCATTTCAAAAATATCAATTATCGATTTTATATGGATAAGCATATGTAAAAACCAAAAAAATTAGCAGTAGAATTTTAAAATTTGTATGTTGTTTCTTATCTATTAATTTTTTGTTTCAGTTGACTTCAAGACCAACAAAACTTCATTTAGTTTTGGACGAGTTTTATCCTCCGAGAAGATATAACAACCAAAGACCAAATTCNGATTAATAACACTATTCATGATAGAAAACAGATGCCTACCCCGATTCAGGACGAACCTGTAGAAGATATTTCTCATGAACCAGTTCAAGGCCAAAGTGGTGGTATAGAATCTGAGACAAACCAAAGTGAGAATATGGAAACTACGATAATGCATACAGAAACCATTCAGCCAGTTGCCCAGAGTGTGGACATTGATGACAATAACAGCATGGATGTTGATGAGGAAAACAATGGTTCAACTGCTGATACAGATGAAGCTGAGAATGATGAGTAATGAAATATGATGATACTGTTGTTCAAAGTAAATAAAAATGTTACAATTTGTAGTTTCTGTTCAATATAACTGGGATTTATGAAACAGTATTGAAAGTTCCTTTAATATCATTCAAAATGGAGGTGGTAGAACCAAAGAGAGAAAAGTGATTATTCTAGTTCCCCAAAATGCATACAAAAACTCATGAAAGGTTAATGCAGTCAAGATTGGTCAAACCATCAACGCCGATATGAAAACTTGGGTGTTACACCATTAGATAGTTTCACTTATGTCTCACTTGATTTTATGAAGAATTTTTCATTAATTACTTGCCTTAGTTTTTCACAATTTGTCTTCAAGGACGGCCTTGTAATGTTATTCAAAGAAAAAATTATAGGCCCAGAAGAACTTGGCGAAGTGAACCAGAGTTTTACAACTAGTTGTAAAACTCCTAGACATTACCAGAAGATGGCAAATGACACTTTGTGAAATAATCCTTATGAGAATAAAAACACAGAACACTGAGCGAAACTCAAAAAAACAGCTCGTCATACTTTGTCCATGAGAATCTTCAAGAATATCGATGAATATTTATTCTACCGTGTCGTGGTGTATACTGAGAATTTTGTATTCTGTACATTGATGCTGTTATTTATTTTGATTTTTTTTTGCCTTCAGCATATTACTATATATGATGTCGTGAATCGATTTTCGGGCAATATTAATTTTTACATTATTTTATTTATTGTTGCAATTCTGGTTCGTCAGTAGACGTGCCACTGTCATTCACATTTATTACAAATTTTTCAATTTGTTGCTCTTCAATATTGTCTAATTTCCACATTTTTTGCTGCACATGATCAATGCATTTTTTCACTTTTATGGGGTGATGGTAGCTATCGCATTTTGGAAGATGTTTTTCATGTCAGCACATTCAGATGTATTATAATTATGCTAATAACAATTTTTTTCATACTAGCCCAAATTAAACTCAATAGAAATAAGTTCGCTTTATTTTGAGCTTTAGCCATTTCATCAATAATATATTCAACATGTTTTTTTTGTGCTCATCCAGTATTGCTAAAAGTTCCACTTCAAGTAATGTTTTTTCAAATTGGATGCTTTAGTTAGAATTTTTTCAAATGTCATACAATGATAAGGGAATTGTCTAATACAACAATATCGTTATCATTTAGTTTCGGCAAAATATTTGGAACCACTTTAAAAAATATTTCTCATCCATTTCCTCGTGATAATCCCCGTTTTTTTTTCATCCAAAAGCCCACAGCGTTTCTGGAACGAATCCGTCATCACTTCCAGTGTGGCAAACTATCAGCATTTTTTTTTTCTCTAAAATCAAAAAGCATTTTTTATGCCAAATTTGACTTCAGGAGGGGAAACTTTGTGGAGCTCTNTGAAAGCTCCTATCTTTTTTTCGATGAGAAATCACCTCCTTAAATGTTTTACACTTATTCAGTTACAGCCTGTATTTCAATTGTGTTGATAGCCTCTGAAGCTGGTTCTATCTGGGAAATAGTAAAAAAAACTTTTTAGAAAAATAATAGGAATTATATTTATATTTTTCACATACATAGTATGTATTTTATGTATAGGTAATATAAAACTGAAACAGCCTTTGCAACTTACAAAAATCTCTAATTTAATAACATCTGAAATAGTTCATTTTCATGACCTCAATTTATAAATGAAAAAGGCAGAGAGTAAAGACACAGATAAAATTAATTTTCTCCAAGGTAAATTGAACTTTCCTGAATTTGAAGTGATTAGATCCACAGGTTTCAATGCCTTATCCCATTGCCTTGATTTGGAAAAAATATTTTTTGCAACTTTCTTACACAGCACAACTCTTCGTTTAAATATAGTTAACTGTTTCTCCATAGACAATATCTCTTTTTCTAATATTTCTTCCTCAACTTGATTTTTCTTCATATATAACAAACAGGCCTCCATAACTATCACATGTTTCACTACTGTAAGCAACTGGACGGCTAAGTCTGTATTACTGTACATTTCTTCTAGTTTTATTATATGAAGAGACGTGGGAGAAAAAGGTTTTTCATGAAACTTATGAATTCCTGCCATAATTCTATAACGTTGATAAGGTAAGTTGACTCCCAAATTTTTTAGTTCACTGTTGGAAAATGAAAAGAAAGTACTCAAACTAATTTTATTGTTGGCAAAAGTTCTTATCGCATTCTCAGCTTTAACTCCACAAAGGAGATTGCAAATGTCTAAGAAAAATTGTGGTTTTTCACCTGATGTATTGAAAATGCCCTCAAAAGAATCATATGAAAAATTGTCATTGCTGATCAGTGCATGAGGCTCTTCACTAGTAAATAGACTAATGATTTTTTTATTATTATTACACTTTGCCACATCCAGAGGAGTGTTATTTCTGACATCACACAAATCATATTTTAATCCTTCTTTCAGCAAATATTCAACAACACTGACATTGTCTCCATTAACAGCCCAAAATAAAGCTGTCCACTTTTGATTGTCCTCTGCATTTTTATCAGAAAGAGGTAGTAAATATTCAACAGCTGGTAAATTTCCAGAATTAGCAGCATACATTAACGCTGTCATTCTTTTTCTGTTTATAGATTTTGGATTTACCCCAAAATCCACTAACAGCTTGATAATCTCTAAGGATTGTGAAAAATCTGCAGTTTCTTTCGGACAATTGCAAGCCATCATTAAAGTTGTCATACCATCTCTTATAGAATCAATTTTCGCTCCACGGATAACAAACTCCTCTGTAAGCCTAGCATTTCCAGTTGACACACATAACAATAAGGGTGTCCAACCATCCCCAAAATTCATTTCAACGTCGAATCCCCTATCGATGTATTCCATGACGAGTTCGTTATTTTTGCTGCAGAGAGCAGAATAAAAAGTGGATTTTTCTTGAGCCAACTTTTCAGCCTCAGTAAAAACTCGAGATACTCTATTTTGTTTAACTTTGTCTTTGAAGTCGTAATAACCACCATCGTCTAATAAATCATCATCATCGGAAGATTCATCACATTCTATACATATCACGTGAGCAAGGTAGACTAAGATGTAGAAGACACCATTCTGGCAGGCCATAATGAATCCCTCAGTTTCTGAGTTTAGCCCACTCGACGTAAGAAAGTAAAGGTCAGATGCTTTGATAAGTTGAGGTTTTCAATGCTATTGAAGACGACCCTATGCATCGGTGGGTTAACTTCCCACACTGTGAGGTGATTGATCATTGGGTCCCAGAATCATGTGCCCGAAGCTGACGCAATGAGCCAAGAATGACAGCATTTTTAGTAATAATATAACATGACCACCTATGGGCAGCTATAGCTACCTACCTGACTTACAAGTCCCGAATATTAATCTCTAACAAAATTGGTTTTTCTGTTAATCAGCTGTCGCCCCCTACGAACAACTCAAAACTCGTTCGAGATAAGGATTAACGAGGTTTTAGATTTCAACGTGCGATTACTAGCAGGAAATACTTCAAGATATCAACAAGTATGTTTGATCCAAATCAAAAAGAGGAAATCTCGCGAATATAACACTTGAAATGAATGGAAAGCAACGGCACTTGTCCCTCACTATTGGCCTTATCAGCGTAGTGTACCCAAGTGCAAATATGGGTAACACCTGGTTACTGAAAATGTGAAACATCACATATATACGGAATTCAGAAAGCTCTTTCTACATTTCACAAGCTGTATATATTTGTTCTCAAAAGAGTTAGTTAACAACATTAGGAACAATGACTATTTTAACTCAATAAGTATACTCAATAGACACTGATTCATTCAAAATTACAATGTTCAATTAGTATAAAACTTCGAAAATTTAAAGGAGTTTAGAAAATGAACCTTTAAAATGCATTTTTCATCGGACTTTCTTAGAGCCAAATGAAAATCTAGATAAACTGAAGCATTTATTTGACATCCATTCTATTTATAAATTAAAAGTGTGCATCTTTCTGCAATCCGTTAAGAATATAAAACATTCCACTTAAGAATTTATAGAACATAGAAATGTACATGATCATCAAACAAGACAGCTCGATATATTAACAAATCTTAAATCTGCATATTCCAAAAAATAATTTTTTTACAAAAGTATAGTTGTCAATAATGAATTACTGAATGACAAACAATTTTCCAACATAGAAAAATTTAATTTGTCATTGAAGAACTATATGTTGTATTCATTTTAATATCATATTTGTTTGTTTTTGTTATTAATTGGACCAGTTCTGAAATAGCTCTGTTTGAAGTTTTATATTTCTTGTATACATTCCCTGCATAAACCATTGTAGTTTATTGGGGATAAAGTGAATGTTTTTTATTAAAAAAAACAAGCACTCTTCCCATACACCAGAACTGCAACACTTCTCTCGAGGCGTGTTTCACCAGTGAAATTGAAGTCTTCAGAAGATGGAATAGACTCCTATGACAGAGGTTCCAGTTTTACATTTTGTGGTTCGATAATATATAACGCCAATCATAGTTGAATGGGCCAATAACAAAATCAGGACGATGAGAATAATAGTACGATCAAGAGATACAGCCCTTAGTGTCATCCTGACAAATGGATGTGTGAAAATTTTTGTAGAATACAATATGATGAAAGTGATACATAAAATGAGAATCATTTTCGACTCACCTCAGTAGACATATTGGATATATTAAAAACTACCAGAACTATAACAGCTAATATATCTGAGTCATGGTCTTTAAATCCTTTGGATGCAAATATTGAAGAATCTAGTTCTCTGACACTGCTCAATAGAAAGTTAAATATTATTCAACGAGTTTTAATATATCATTTGTACATTTTTTTTTGATGCTGCTATCCAACAAATTTTGTTCTGTTCATATTACCTTGTGACGATTAACAATTATATTTTAATGTATAAATACTGACCCGTTACTTGATGAAAATTAATAACACTATTCATGATAACAATTATAGAATTTACACAAGAAATTTAATTACCTCTCTATCTGCATTTATTTGATAGTGTTTACTTTCTCTCATATAAAGGACATTGTATAATAGTTTTATGTACCAGTGAAAATTCTGTAATTACCACCATGGATAATATTTTAATGTGCTCCTTATACATTTTATTTTAGTATTGCATTAACTTTTATGTTTTCAAATTAAACTTCATTCTGAATTTTCAAATAGTTGACCAATCAATCATGGTGTTCTATTGATGGTATATTTTATAAATGGTTTTTGCTAAACAAATGATTTGTATAAAAAAGTGTAGTTAGAAGGTTCAGCATTACCTCTAAAGTAGCTGTAAAATACTGTGATACCTAATCAGGCAATTTATTGCAACTTGAGTTGAGCAGATGGGAATATTCTTTGATATAGAATGGGTCCGGTTCAATTAGAACTGGATTTCCAGAGAGATAGTTACATCACAGACATCAATTTAGGACAAGACACACACATCATATGAGAAAAACAAAAAAATATTGTGAGACCAAAGTCTCACAATATTAGATATGTTAGTGAATACGAAATTTTTAATTACAAATAAATACAGAATAATTTCTTTTTGTCATAAATACATTTTGGATCAAGTTTTTTTGTCTGTCTGCTCATTCAGGTCATTAGATTTCTTATCAACTAATTCATTTATGTTTTCGTCATTTTTTTCAGCAGTATCAGTGTTGTTTTTTTCTTCGTCAATGTTACTCACTGCAGCATCTTTGTTTGTTGTTTCATTTTTATTTTCTTCTTCTTCAGAGTCATCATCAGAGAGGTCCTCTAGTTCTTCATCAATCCTGTAAGAGATAATTAAAATGTGTATATGTGATATAAAGGTAAAATATAAAGACTACTCTTTTTTTGCTTTTATATTTTCCTCAATGACTTTATTGTTAAAGTTGACACAGTTTTTACAAGTTGAACGAAAATGAATGCTCAATATTTTTTTTGTTAATGGTAATATAGTTCAAATTCTAAAGTTTGTGAGGTTTTTACCATTCTGTTGAGTATATAAATATAGATATTTCATTGTGATACTTGTATAAGTATTGAAAATTGTTATGTATTCTGACTTATTATTTTTCAAATCCAAAAAAGATTTTGCATTCCGAACCTTTCTGTCAAGCTTCAATATATCTGAAGAACATGCCCATATCATTACTAAGGACCACTCCTCTCACCTTGGAGGCACGAGGCAAGATGTATTAAATTATCAAAAGACATCACGATTCACAGAATTTGTATTCAAAATGAGAATAATGATTTTTTTTTTATGTATTAAATTATCAAAAGACATCACGATTCACAGAATTTGTATTCTGAATGAGAATAATGATTTTTTTTTAATATTAGTCATTTCTCTTCATTTTGCAGAGAGGCTAAACCATTAGGTGCTCATTTGGCATATGATTCTTTACCAATAAATCAATAAACAAAGCAATGCCCATATTCGGAGGACACATTTCACCCTTGTATTGACTAACTTCACACCTCGAGCTCCTTGGATGAGTTGAGGTCTCCAATGTTTTGAAGTAGAAGTAAACTGGTCTAAGCAGCTTTCATGTGGGCTTTTGCTGAATAGGTTACAATTTGATGACAAAGTTTAGATCAAGATTAGATCAAATTTTTCAAAAGAAATTGTTCAATCCCTGCTATTTCATTTTCACAGAACAAGTGGAAAGATGGATCGGCTTCATTTGAAACCATTCTGACACGTGGACTCGAAAGTTTATGGCTTTGCTTTTGTCCAGCCAAAAAATAACCAGATAAGGAATGATTTAGAGTGCAAATTCCTACGGATATGCATCATTTTTTTAATGATAGACATTCTTATAATGGCCTTCACTGTTATTTTGAAATAATCATGCACATTGTAATAACATACCACAACTTTGTTTTTTTCTTCTTAACAACTTTCTCCTCGTCATCACATTTTCTTTTTGATGAAGTTGAGACTTGAAGACCTTGAAGTACTGCATCTTCAATCATTTCAGGAAGAGCTGATCTTTCTTTATCATAAGCGTCATCTTTGAATTCATGTTTAGGTTTTTCACACAATCTTTCCAGCTTTTTCTTTTTTCTTTCTGCTGCTTCTTTCTCTCTTTCAGCTTGATTATTGATCCAATTTTTTAGCCTGCGAAAATAAAGAAAAAACAATCAGGTACTGATTCAATATCTAAGAAATAATTTGAAAAATTATGATTGAACATTTTTTTTGGGAATGGTAACATTAAAGAATGGTGACCTCAAACATTTGAATGAGTGCTCTTCAATATTTTGCCAATGCAAACTTTTCAGAAGTACTGACAAAGTTGCTTAACAATCCCACAAAAACAGTAATAAAGTTGAATTGATGTTGTTGATGAAAATAGTTCAAAAGTTAATATTTTATTGTATAATGTATTGCTGCCTAACTAATAGAGAAAGCCTAACATTTTTGGACAAGTGTTTAATAAAGTTGAATTGATGTTGTTGATAACAGCATGACAACAATGAAAACAAACGTTTTAAAAACATTTTTTTTTTACATTTGACAAGCTATATATATTTTCAGAATCTAAAAAACAATATCTAATTTAATCTATACTTGAAATGAAGCTTTTTATTGTCAAGTCATTTTTTATTTAATCTATCAGGCGCTCTAAAATGTGATTCCAAATGAAAAGAGAATAATATCTTGTATTGTACTATGAAGAAATTGGGTAACACTTCTCGATCACCATGCTTGTGGCAAACATGTTTCAATACTCTTGGGTTACAAGGAGAATTTGAATATGTGATAAATACTTTGATAATAACAAACTCTCTTTCTTTTATCATAATTACTTATTGTGAAGAAGCATGAAACTTGAAAAAGCAGAATACTTCCTAGGTGAATTCTTCAGCTACCTTGCTAAAAAAAGTGAATGCACAATAGGGAAATGGAATGAAAAAATTATATGAATGGGAAAAAACATGATATCTCAGATACTTCATGTATAAAAATGGAGAAGTAGAAAGCCAAAACCTTTCTTCCCAATGAGCCTTTTTCTTGAGAATAGTACAGCGAATGTGTCACGAGAGGCAGCACTAGTAGTAGGAACAAACATAAACTATTCACATGTAAAATAGTGTTATTTACGTTATAATAATTTATTATTAAAAAATATAAATCTGATATAAAAAATTATTTTGTGCTAGTATAATGCCAACAAAGCATTGCTGTTTTGCGAATCGTATGTCGGATAATTGATATCTGGAAGAAAACGTGTTTTTTATACCATTTATAAAACCTCATATTAATGAGGTTAGATGTAAGAAATGGATACATGTTTCGAGGAGAGTGGATTTAACAGTGCAAAAAATAAATAAATATTCATATGTATGTTCTAAACATTGTAAAAATTGTAAAAATAAATATGTACATAATTTTCTGAGAGATTTTTCTGGCTTTTTACTTCTGACATATTAGGCAAAACAACCCACGAGAAGTCGACACAAAACCACGTAGTCTTTTTTGATGCCAAGGCGTTGAAAACATTATCAATACCTTAAAAACTACCAATGATATGATGAAACAAGTTGTTACCTTTTTTTGTTCATTATAAAGTTCTCTATGAAAAAGTACACCCAAGTTTCTCTCCCCATCTGAATTCAGCATTCAAGTTATAATATTCGAATGTTTGAAATCAGTTTTTCTATCAACTCCTTTACGAATGACAACCTTCAGATGTTGAAAATTTTGTGAGCTAAAGATTAAAGAGATCTTATCTTTCAACATGCAATTCATAGCCTGAGAGTTTGACTGACCAGTATTTATATATGAATTATCATGTATTGAACATATTATTGAAAGTTCTGAAGATGTTGAGAAACAATATCTTTTACACCATACTCGACAACAAGTTTGTTCAGTCTCTTGAACCAATTTGTTATTTTTTTTTATCAGAATAAGAAACCCAACAGTTCTAGAATATTCGTTAATTATGTGTGAAAAAATATAAACTTCAAGAGGAAGAAAACTCTGAAAATCATGAGAATTGAAACTCGTAAGCTATGAAGAAAGAATTTTCTACTTCCACTGACTGCAGTGATATCTCTCTTAAATTGACTTCAAATCATTGCCAAATTTATGTAACCTCTATATTTCTATTGTTCTTGATTTCTTTCTACCAGCACCGAGTGTGATGACGAATAAACAAACTTACCGTTGTTCTTCATTTATGTCTCTTAAGCGTCTTCCACTCAGGTCTCTACAAGCTTCTCGGTTAGTAGTTTTTTCAATTTGGGCACCAATTGCTCGAAGCATAGATCCAAATCCACCCTTTCCACCCAACACTCTCGGTACAATATGAACGGGTTGTTCATTAAGAATATGATCATTATGTAGGATTTTACCACTTGAAGTGAGGTAATAATGGTCAGATTGGAGATCCTAAAAAATGCAAGTTGTATGTAAAAATTGAATGACACTAGGATTAATATTATCACTTTTAGGTATTTTGTTATAGAGATATCTTTTAATTTGTAGGTTGAATGCAAATCTGGCATACAACTTTATTGTTACTTACATGTTCAGCTTCTAATTGTTGTTTCAATTTTAAAACGGTCAACTGACTCGAAACTGTAACCGCTAGATGATAACCACTAAAGTGAAGTTTCATTTCGAAAACAATTGGAAATATTAATAGAAATAAAATAAACGGATATGTTTATGTGATTCTACTATGTTTACATTATACACAGACATTGATTACTGACGTTTGACCACAGTGTTCTGTGGTTTGACGTTATATGTATATTCAAAAATGTTATGCTCCAATGTTGCCGTTTCTGAAATTAGTATTCGTACGAGTGTTGCATACGGGCCGAAATAGTAATAGAAAGTAATGGATTTTCAAAGTATCAAAGGGCCCGCCGGAGGCATATCTACATTTATCTTATAGCACATTAATTTATTAGTTAATTACTATATTTATTTGCCATCAGTGTCAGTTGAAACCTTGATTGTTACATGCAACTGCTTTCGGATTGCATCAGTGAACAAACTGCAAATAAAACTTGAAATGGTAAATACCATCACCAGCGACACATTCTGCAATTGATCCTAATGGCAATCATATAGTGACCAAGTCAAAAAAATACATATATATTTATGGTTCATTTTACTTACAAAATTACCAAGTAATAAATGACATTTCAAACATTAAAAGAACTTATGTGAAGTCGTTTTCACCTTTTCAAAAAAGAGAGTGTACGTCTCTGCAATCACAAGCGATACTGGTGACACTTGTGATTCGAAAGTGCCTATGATTACAGCGACAAGGAGCCATATTGTCCGGTACATAATTGCTCATTCTAATCCATCTAGAGGAAACTCGATGGCAAAATTTAACTTGCTTTTGAATCTGTCCGTTACAGATAATCTTTTGAAATGAATTACTAAAATACGGGAAAACTTAAGGATTGATAGAGACTTTGTCCATGTTCTACTTTTCTTGCAACTCGAACACGTCGGTTTTTCATGTCCATCCAAAGTGAAGAATTTCAAGCTGATGAACTCAGTTGGCCAGTTCTTTGTGATATGGGGAGAGACAAATCCCAGAAAGGATGAAAGGTCACTGATGAGTTTCCACAGTGAGTGCATTTTAACGTGGATTTTAATTGTCCATCGAAATTACCTACAATATTAGAGTTATTTATTTTCAAATATTTCAACCATGACTCTTGTGCTTCATCAATTTCCGTTGAGATCAGATTAGGTTTCTCATTAATTACATTAACGTCATCATGCAAACTTTCTAAAAGATAACGAAGGAACTCCTGGGTGTCATGATGCGCGTGACCCATGAACCAAGGGGCAAAACTGTGAATCTGGCTTTTTAAGGAGAGTGTGTTCACAACTCTATCAGAATAATTTTGTAACCAACCACAATTACTTCATAACTTCTGCGAACGCTTTCATTAAAGTACCCTACATACTTTAAATATTCTAGTTACCATCTCGTGTTTGATAAACATTGGATTACACTGTTCATGAAACAGGTTTTGTCAATATTTTTCAACACATTGACTCCAAAGGTTTTGACTGTAGAATGTATGTATCACCAGTCTAAGTTTGTTGTAGCTGTTGATATGTTCGCCACTGCTGTTTTCTTCCGAGTAATCACGGATGCGATGATTCTCCCCATCAATGGACCAGCGTTGTGAATAATTTGAAGTTAAACTGCTTGGATAGATAGTTAAACTGCTGAGTTGGATAGATTTGTGGTTAATTTTTCGAGTTTGTGAGACAATGTTATTTTGAGATTTGTTAAGCCGGGTCCAGACTATGTAACAAAACATGTTATATAGCAAAGTTATATAACTTGTTAGATACATTCAAATGAAAAAGTTATGTAACACAATGTTATACTACATTTTTCTTGCTATATAGCAAATTTTATGTTATCCGTTGGGTGTCGGTAAAGATCAAAGAAAGTTATATAACACGCCGCAACTTGTCCACACTTGTGTTATTGAACATTTACTGCAGCGCCAGCCAGCCAGCGCATCGGCGAATCGGCGATTGAATTTGAATTTAGTGCCCGAACTCTGGCATTACAAATTCTGTTGTTACGCGAATGGTCAAAAGAACTCACTACTCATTTGATCGAGTTATTTCGCAAGCAACGTTTTTTATGGGATCCTACCCTCTTAGATTTCTAAAACAGGAATAAAAAACACGACGCGTGGACTGAACTAGAGGCAGAATTGAAAACAAATCCTATTGAAGTTAAAAAAAAATACGTATGCTTATTGGGCAGTTCCAGCGGGAGTTGAAAAAAGGGAAGAGTGGCGATGGAGCTGATGCTCCGTATAAAACAAAATGGATTTTTTCAAAATGGTTTTATTCTTAAAAGACAAAAATGAGCCACAACATTTTACTGAAGGTGCTCTATCTCCCGAACAAAGTGCCAGCAAAACAGCAGAGGTAAGTCGAGAGGTAAGTATCCCACATTTCAACTTAATTATCAATTTGAAGTCAGTAATTATTCTGCCACGGCACTTTTCCTTCCTCATTGGTAAAGAACGAAGAAAATTCTTCTCGTATTTCCTTGCCTAGCACACTGGGTTTTCTAGGAATTCTCATGAGTCTTAGCAAGGTCTCATTTGGCTGACCTTCGACTCTCCTTGTACCTGGTCTTAGTTCCGCGGTAAACGTGTCTTCTTAATCGAAGGTACCTGGTGAACAGTAGGATGAAGATGATTGACCTTGCCTAAGAAAATTGTGGCGATAACAGCATCCTAAAACTATCTTTTCTGCTCTTTCGGGCTCAAGAAGCATTGGTTTTTGTAACACCCTGAATACGACAGATAAAATTCCAAATGAATTTTCGACTACACGCCTAGCTCTACTATGTCTGTAATTTTAAATTCGCCCCTGTGAACCTTTCTGTTGAGTACCTGGGAAGGGTGTCATAATATGCGGTTGCAAAGCAAATGCCTCATCACCTAGAAATACGAACGGTGATGGTGATGTTCTTCCCGGTAATACTTTTATTGGTGGGAGATTCAAGGAAGATGTTTCAAGTAGCTGTTCAAATGTTGTGTTAGCATATACTTCGCCATCAGACAAACGTCCTTGGCAACCCACATTTACATAAGTAAAAATAAAATAGTTAGCGTCAACTATAGCTAAAAGCACTATGCTGAAAAACCCTTGTATTTGAAATAGACGCTTCCAGTGTTCCGTGGAGCTTGTAAACATATGTGTTTTCCATCCATACTACCACAACAGTGAGGGTAATTCCACATCTGGTTGAAATCGTCTGCAATCTGTAGCCATTCTTCTTGATATTTAGGCACCTAAAAAAATGCTTTACAGTTTTTTTATCTTGTAGGAAGAACGGCAACCAGAGTCACATCCAGAACTGCAACGTGATACAGAAAAATGTCAAGAAAAACCTTGATAAAAAACAATGCTACCACAAAAGGTATCAAGAGAAGAATTTTAGATGCAAAATCTGAAAAAGCTTACGCGTTAATGAAACAAATATCCCGTAACGTGAAAAAACTAGATGACTTCGATGTGTACGGTGAATATGTAGCCGGGATCTTGCGGAATCTCAAAAGCAAGGCGATTCTTGTCCTCGCGAAATATGAAATATATATTGCTCTCTACCGAGCGGAGGTAGCAGACATACCTTCGAATACACCTCAGCCATTTACCACTCCGGAGTCCGATACACCTGCATCTACTCCACTTTCACCAATTACAATAGACACTGACACTCAATCATACAATAGACCTGGGTCATCTACCATGACGTACGCTACAAATATATCCGCTACTTCACCAATTCAAACTGACAATGATACTCAATCATACGCAGGCTCAGAAGACATGAGTGGGAAGGAATAAAACTTCACACAAATGCTTCTGAATTTATAAATGTCCTGATCTGTTCTATTTTCAATTGAATGAATAAAGAGGTTTGAAAAATCCTATGTACTCACTTTCATTTTGTCGCTTAAACAGTTGATGAGAGCGTCGCACACTTCTGGTACAATATTCGAAATACTCTTCTTAGAAAATTTGAATAAATAGCTCAAACTTTGGTAGGAATCTCCACTTGCTAAGAATCTCAACGTAACCGCCAATCTTTCTTTTACTGGTATTGCATCTCGAAATGTCGTGTCTTTTTTGCCTACTTTATGGCCGATTTGATTTATCGGGTATTCGAAATCAGAACTTGTCATCCTTAGGAAATTTTTAAAACTACCACCACATTTAATGTCCCCTGTCAATGGGTCTATGTTATCCATTGCTAGAGCCTTCAAAAGAGTTGTTCCACTATATGTTCCTCTAGCTCTCAACGGTGGCCGTACCCAATATCTCCGTAAAGATTTCACTCGTCGCCTACATAAAATCACGCAAGCTGCTGCTGCCAAAATGACATCCTCTACGTTTGAGGTCATTTTCAATAGTACAGATGCCTCTGCTTCCAGATGAGCACTTTTGTTTAGTTTTATTTTGTTACATAGTCTGGATGTCTGCTATTTTATAACAAGTTGTATAACAAAGTTGTATAGCACATTTGTTGTATAACTTTGTTAACACCATGATTTGTGACATAGTCTGGACCCGGCTTTATATTCACTAATACGAAAGGACTGAACCGTTACTTAATGAAAATCTATGATGCTAAATACACAACTTGCAAAAATAGTTTTATCTCAATAGACGCGTTTCGCTAACAGCGCAGCTTGCTCGGTACAAATAAATATTACAAACTGGGCTACAAATCTTAAACATAACATCAGAAGGTACTGCTAGGTACTGTTAGTAGTGAAGGAGATAGCAGGTAGACTTCGTAAACTAATTATACTTACAGTTATTGGAAAATAACAGACAAATTTGTGACTGAACAAACTTATTGGTATTATGAAAAAATGTTTAACAATCGTGAGTGGTCAACCTATACTGTTGGTCGTTTAGCAGGGAACTCGAACGTTTCCCCTTATTGATTCCCAGACTCCAGCAGGTTCAACTTCTATCCCTTAGCTTCTACATGGAGTATGCCGTACATATAGTGTTGAAATCGTGATCGATGTATTCTCAGATCGACAAAATCACCAACCTTTTCTGAGATATTTGCAATAAACTGAAAATGACAGAGAAACATTTTGCTTCATTTCATGTTTACATAATCTTGTTCAACCCATTTTCCAATGTGACGTTTCGTTTATTGAAACTCATCATCGATATATATTTTTTTATGCGGACCTGTATATTTTTTATACATTTTTGTAGTAATTGTAATTACACAT